AAAGGACACAATCTGTAAAATGAACATAAGACTATTCTGATAAAAGATATCAGACTGCAAAATCGTCTGACAAACCAGTCTATGTGAAACCGTGTGGTTGGCAGAGAAGCAGCTAATGAAATTATATAGGCATTGCTTTGACTTGGGTGGGGATCCAATCTTTGACCTTGCGCCTTGAGGCAGGAAAACAGTGGACTGACCACTGATACGTTGTACTATTACTTTAAAGTAATGTAGTCCTTATCAATTAAAATTATAATGTCATCTTAAAATTAATGTATACTGTAATTTTTGAATTGTGAAATTCTTTTTTCAAAAACAACTCAATTCTTTAAATGAATTTGCAATCAAAGCATATTTTTGTAGGAGAATTAAAATACCTGTAATAGTAAGAACATCTAAACATCTGAACATTATTCTTCAAGATTATGACTGGTGCCACATGTAGAGCAGGATCTACCAACCCTTCCGGAGCACATAAGATCACCCCAAGTTTATGGTGGGGTTCGTGTTGCTCAGTCTTTAATTTTCTATGTTGTGTTTTGTGTACTATTGTTTTTCTGTTAGTCTTATTCTTTTTTAGCCATGGCATTGTCAGTTTATTTTAGACTTCTGAGTTTGAATGTCCCTTTGGTATCTTTCGCCTCTCTTTTAGTTTTGGGCCAAGATTGGGGAATGGTAATAGTTTGTCAATGGCCAAACAAACAAAAACTTTTGGTAAAATATTATTTATTGTGGAACTTTATGTTAGGACACAATATAAATACTGGCAATGATTTAAATGTACATCTTAATAATGTAATTGTGTGAATAACTGAACAGTCACTTCATGTACATTGTACAACATTTTATGAAAGTCATTCAATATTGAAAATACTTACATCATTAAATTACATACATGTATCATCAAAGAATTAGATAATTACAATAAAAAAAATTGTTAATGTTAACAGATAGACAAAAGTTATTTAATGTTTTTGGTTCCTCAATTGAGTAGAACATACAAGTCACTAGTAAGTACAATGTCTATCATACACAAGTTTATAATTGATGAATACAGGAAGTCAACTTGTCCTTGAAAAATACAATTCAGCCAATCAGAGAGACTAAAACATTATACTTCCCATAATGCAACATGATTTGTAAATTGGCCCATTATTCTGTTGGTAAGCATTCCATTATGTATATTGAGGCTACCACCACACAACTCAAAGAGAAACACAGTCATAATGGTTTGTATGGTATACTTTCCTAGGCTATTTTTTTCAAAAATGTTAAATTCAAATTACACTCTTCACACTTGGGTTTCCAATAATATTTGGAGCATTAAAAGCACTAACTTAGTAAAACATATTAACTTATGTAGTATTTATTTAATATTCCATTTTGCAGATCAATACAAAACAAATAAACTGCTTCGCTGAGGGCAGCTGGATACGCCTGCAGAGGTCCAACCCTGAACAGTTGGTGCAAAAATGGACACAATATTCAAGCTTGATACAGGTCTGAATTTGGATTGTAATTAAATATTTGACATATTATAGGTTTCTGAAGAAATGTAGTCAAAGAACTTGAAATTGGTTATATGAATTGAATTTATATTCACCAAAGTTTTATGCAAATTGGTTAAAGCGTTTTTGAGTTAATGTACGACATGTTGATGACGGACGGACAGACGGGCAGACGGACAAACAGACGGACAGAGGTATACCATAAAACGTCCCAAAAAACGGGCGTATAGAAACTAAATGCAATCCTGAAACATTCTTAAACAGAACACACACCATGTCTAAAAATACCATTGAACTGTATTAATGATCAACATGTCTAATGTTGACTTTTAAATGTTTTGGTTGTTGTGTCATTGGGTTGCTGTTTCAACTCTTTTACTTGGAATTATATGTGTTTATTCTAGAGCAATGATTCGAATGATAAGATTATTGTTTATTTTTTTGTTATTTTTTTATGTGATTTCATGTGCATAGAAAAGCAAATTACAATTTCAAATATTCCAATAATGTTACACAAACTAACTGTTATTTTTGGCTTTTAACAACACACGAAGAATAAAATAAAAAACCATGAAACATAGTAATTATTTCTAAAAGAATACAAAAAATCCAGATAACCTCTTATATTCTTATAGTAGAACTTAAGGATGTAGTCAGGTCAGGTTTAGGAATTATTGTCAGATGTTAGTACTCCTTGGGTTTTTTCCTACAATACAGGGTAAAATATTTTGCCCCACATCACTCACCTTTTTTCTTAGAAGACTTCAATAGCTCATAAAAAGGTCATAACCAAAATTTAAGCAGATTCTAGATTTCTTTTCTTAAAATTTGAGACCCAAATAATGCCAATGCTAAATATAAGGTAAAAGTCTGAGTCAGCCTTTTCCCGCCATTTTTGTACAATCAAATATCTCGAAAAGGAGTTCCATAACCTATCAAAATTTTAAGCTAATTTTGTTCCTTAACTAATGCTCTTCGGACTGATGGTTTCAATTTCAAATTCTAGATTTTTTTAAATTTCACCTGACTACATCCGTAAATGCATTAAACTTCTTAACTGCAATATCAATTGTACTCAATCATAAATGCAAAGAATCTTGCTTTTACTTAATTAACAAATAGTTCTTTTGATATTCTGTCACAACAAATGTTAAACTACTGAAGTCTCTGAATGGATTTGATTTTGATTTTTGGTGTTTTGATGCCACTTTTAAGCACCGCTTTTGGGTTATTTCGTGGCGGCCAGTTTTTATTGGTAAAGGAAGTCAGAGTGCCCGGAGAAAACCACGACCTTCGATAGGAAAACTGACAATCATAGTCAATTAAGATTGGAGTCGAGTGCACCCGCACGAGCGGGGTTCGAACTCACAACCTCAGTGTTGACTGGCTAGTGATTACAGTAGTAACTACTTAAACCACTCGGCCACTGAGGCCCCATCTCTGAATGGATAGTTATATATATTAAAAAAAATTATAAAATATTTCAGTCTATGTCATTCTCTAATTTATGAATTAATTGCAATATAGATAAATTCTATTATTCTAAATATATCATTTATGTAACACACTAGCCATTTAATATCTCAATTTTAAAATTGCAAAACAAAATCCCTTAACTTTATAAAAAACTGACATAAATGATTCTAAATTATGATATTACATTACATCTCAAAATTAGTTAAGTTAGAATTAACAAGATACTGAAAACCAATTATTTTTGGCAAAACTTTTTAGACAACTTTGCAGTGATTTTCTTTTGTGACTCTTCCATAATGTATTCATACAAGACAAGACATATATTTGACAAATCATATTTTTTCGCCAAGTTGTTTTAACTATCTATTTTAAAAACTAGCTGGTTTACACTTGATTATTACAGTGATCTATGTTATGAATGATATTATTTCCTGAGACAACTAGATAATATACAATGTACAACCATATAATTGAGGCAGCATCATTCATTACTGTTTTATCTTAAACTGATCTAGTCATGCTAGTCACAAACATTAACATGTATACTATGCAAAACATCAAAGTCAATAGACCATGACTGAAGGAGAGGACCAAAAACAATCTACATATGAGATGTGCTAAAGCTAATACATCTGTATACCAAATATTATTGACCTACCACTAATGGTTCCCCTTAACTGACCTAATCACAAACTTTTACATGTAAGCTAAGCAAAAGTTTCAAAGTCAATAGACTTTACTGAGCGGGTAGGGCCAAATAATCTACATGGAAATAAGATGTTCCCATGTTAATACAACTGCATACCAAATACCGTTGACCTACCACTAATGGTTCCCCTTAACTGACCTAATCACAAACTTTTACAAATAAACTAAGCAAAAGTTTCAAAGTCAATAGACTTTACTGAGCGGGTAGGGCCAAATAATCTCCATGGAAATAAGATGTTCCCATGTCAATACAACTGTATACCCAATACCATTGACCTACCACTAGTGGTTCCTCATTAATCTGACCTAATCACAAACTAATACATTGTTGATGATGCAGCTGGAAACAGCATGCCTATGGTGTAAGTCTCGCTTTTTTCTACTTCGTTGAAGTGAGACAAAAAGGGGTTGAATACTGTTGCCTATATGTGAAATCTGCAACAAAATTATATTAGTGTATTAGTATTACAAAAATTCCCCAGCACATAATGCATGAATGTTAATTTTTCTGTGTCATGATTTATGTTATGTAATGCAAATACAAAAAAAAAACAAAAAAAAACTACAACATGTTTTTTCATCAAATCATAAAATCTTGCCATTGCATCCTGGAAATGCAAAACTTGCTTATTAAACTGACAATATATGAAATGACTAGAAATATCAATATCACAAAATATCATTACACCTTTCGTTACTTAGTAATATAAGTCAGAATTATTTTTCAAATCAAGTAATAATTTGTTCAAATTACATATAAATTTCATAAGACATACTTTAAATTCAGAAATTAGTGCATGCATGTATTAATGCAAGATTTGAAGAAAGGACAAAAATGCTAGAGTTATTTTTGCGATTTCGGGAAATCTGCATACACTTATCATGCTTATATGTATCAGATATCAGAAAGAGAGTTTTTATTATTGTGATTATCACCCAGTCCCATTATTTGCAATAATAAAACCCTAACAATAATTTCTGAATTACAGTAATCAAGATATCTAATAAGTTTAGTCAATAATTTGGTTTCAATATATAAAATCATTATTTATTGCAGGGGAATAACATCTATTGCAGTAAATGTAACAATCCATTTCATGAACTACATAAATCTTGTGATTTTCCCACCTGGTTTCTTACTCAGTGCCATAGCTAGCTTAATATAGAGGGACAAGCTACCCTAGCCTCTGCCCTATGCATTTTTGGTTTTCTTAAGAAAAATACCAGTAAATACTTTCCAATGCAAAACTATAATTCTAACTACTCAAAAAAGCTTTAAACAATTATAAAATACCATAAGTGCAGTAAAAATAAAATAATTTATTCAATCATTTAAATTTTTATCTATTAACATAATCAAGTTATCCCTTTAAAGGCAAGAAACAGCACTAACACACCCTTCACCCTTCATCTTAAATCTCTGCCCCTCTGACCTTAAATCCTAGCTTACTATTTCTAATAAATGAGAATATCATTTTGTATAAGTTGCAACAAAAATAACCACAAGGCATGACTAATTTTTTGGATTATATAATAATACTACAATGACATTAGCAAAAAAAAAAATACAATTCTGTAATTCAATTTCAACTACACATAAAAAACACATAAATTCCATTAACATCATTAGAATAGCACTCATTGTATGTTAATTAAATAGGTTAAAAATCGTCAGCATGTACAATATACAATAACTTTCTACTTGTTATGAATTTATACATCTTAACATCAGTATTATCATAAAAATACAATTCACAAAACTGTTTTTGATGAAGTCTTGTAGATACAGAACAAAAAATTTGCAATTTACACAATCAAGGAGATTTATTGTAAATTCAGAAATCATTTCAAAGTTTTTGATATTGTAAATAACGCAACTAGATGAGTATCACAATAAGAAGAACTGGCATTCTGATATCTGATACATATATCGGAATGCATATTTTCCAGAAATTGTAATAATATCTCTTACATTTATGTCCATTCTTCAAAAATTGCAATATTTCTGTATTTACAGTAGTTAAAACTCACTATTTGTGATTATTTTTTACAGTGAATGTTGGTGAATACTGGTGAATTTGGGGTGATTCACACTGAAATACAGTACACTCAAGAAATGATTACCTTAAAAACCAGTCTAATATGTCACATTTAGGGTGGTGAGATACTTATATATATAGAAATATCATAGTTTCAATATGCAAACATTAGTTATTAAGGGGAAATAATATATATATATATATACATACCAATCACACCACCTATGCCCAACAAGACAATATCTTTTTTGGGGGGGATAAAAATACAATATCATATAAATTCATGATTTTCTAAATTTTACAAATGAAAATACAAGGCAATTTTTGCATCATGAAACTAATACATTATCATGAGGCTAATCGGACTCCATCAGGTATTTTCCCATGATTCATCAATATTTTGCTGCACAGTGGAGTTTGATGTCACAATGTTAATGTACAGTCCTTTTGGAATATTCCCATGATGCAATATCTCCATGAAATGATTTGTGGTATCAGAATGCTAGTGTGTCCTTCAGGAATTTCCTCATTGTATTACTTACAGATGGGGGAGGTGTTGTGGTCTGGTGGGATATCTGTAATATAAATAAAATTGGGGTTAATCTCAAACTATGATTCAAAATAAGAAATGTCATAAGGGCTATTCCATTAAAATGTATGTGGTAGGGTAGGAAGTGACTTTCAAAATATCCCTACAACCAAGAACCATTTTTTAGATAATTTTGCATAATGGTAATAGACGCATACTGAAAAAAGACCCATGACCCACATTCAATAATTAAACTTCCCTTCCTACCCTCCCACATACATTTTAATGGAATAGCCATAACTAACGCAAGATTTTTCCCTTGTAAGACTTCCAGACTAAAGTTGAGATGTTAAAACTGTTTTTACAGTGATGGCTTTTAAAGGTGAAATAATCAAATTATATGAAATATTTCTCTCTCTTAATTATAATACTGTGGATTCATTTATTTTCTTGAGTACTAATTTTCGTGGATTGAGAAAAACAAGCATTTTCGTGGATATTTAATTTCGTTGTTTTGGCTCAGCCTGCATACATTCTTTTAAAAAAAGTATAATAAGTTGAACATTTAATTTCATGGTTCCACTGTACCCACGAAATCCTTGAAAATTGGTATCCAACGAATATTAATGAATCCACAGTACTGAAAATAAAATTGGGAATGGAAACTGGGAATATGTCAGAGAGACAACATCCCGACTAAAGAGCAGAAAACAGCCCAAGGCCACCAATGGGTCTTCAACACAGCGGGAAAATCCTGCACCCGGATTCGGGTTTCAGTCTATTTTTAAGAGATTAAAATCGCTATAACAAAAACTGTGAAGCAATCTGTACTTTTGGTAGACCAGAAAACCTGTTTTACTTTCAATGTGTACAGAAATTTACTAGCCCTATATCATTAAGGTTGAGCTACAGCTTTGCTTGCATCAAACACAAGATCCAGTTCAGACTTAAAGCAAATCAGTAATCCAGTTGAACTGTGAACTGGTTTTCTGTAATAGTTATACACTGAGGGATAGGTGTGTCTGGATAAGAAACCCGGTCGGCCGGAGGCCGGAGGGGTTTCTTATCCAGACACGCCGTATCCCGAGGTGTATAACTAACTTACACTCTATTCTAAACCCTATATTTTTTAACATTTATTATTAAATGAAAAGAAAACCGATAGCATATTTATTGACAATATCAAACCATGATTTATAAGAATTTATTTTTTATTACATGAAACCCCACTAGTAACCTTTCTTAGGGTATCTTTGTTCAAACTTTGACAAGTGATTATATTTTACAAATGACAAAGTTGTTTTGCATATTCCCGTTAAATCCATGTTCTTAAATGGATCATCGGGTCAAGGTTGACCGTTTTGTGTATTCTTATTACAAACAAAAAATACATCATGCTCCTTGTATGCAGTTGTCAATATGGACGGGTATAAGACGGACGACATTTTGTGGCAAGCGTTGGATTTGGTAGAAGAGACTAAAGATAAAGGCAATATAATACCCAAAGTACTTACCTGTATCAGTGTAATAAAGGTAATCATAACTGTATTTTATATCTTACAGATTTATAACCCCCCCTCCCCTCTTCTCGAGAATAAACAAACATTCATATTCGGACATACTAAGGGATAGGTGTGACCCGACTACCAGACACGCTCAACATACAAAGATACAGATTTAATATTTAGGAATTCCCTTTTTGGGGGCAAACAGGGGCTGATCCAGCTGGGGGTTCCCAACTCTAGAGAAAAAAAGGGGGGTGCAACCATTCAAATGCATTGATCTTTTAAATAAAAGTCGGGTCCATACCGCGGAACCCCCACCCCAGATCGGCCAATGAGTAACCGGGGGGTGGGGGTCCCATGAGTAAGAATTCCCATTTTTTTTAAATACCAATGCTTTAGAATAGAGACATATGACTGGGATAAAAAAAAATTACCTTCAAGCAAAGGAGTATTTAAAGGATTATTTTTGTATTCAAAATAGATGCTTAATTTTTTTTTTCGCTATTGGAATTTCCTAAAATGTGTTTTTTTTAATATCTTGAAACAATTTGTAGTGAACACTATTAGTAATTTCTTATGTTCATGCTATTTAAAAAATAATCAATTTCTATTGTTACGAATAACAATGGACTTTGTTTGCGGTATGTAGAAGCATGGGTTTCCAGAAACCCCGCTCGTCACACCCTGTGGTCAAAATCCTTTGTTATTCGTAACAATAGATCTATTCAATTTACACTTGTTTCAGAAATAGAAACTATGAAGTATAACAATAGAACTGGGGTGTAAGTTTACTTACCCTATACAAATAAGGTTGGACATCAGCTATGGTGGTATCAAATACAAGATCCAGTTCGGACTGGTTTGGCATTTTAGGAACATATTCATGTCTATTCATTGCTTCAGCTACATACATCAATTTCTCTGCTAAAACTTCTCCAAGTTTTTCTCTTAATAACTGTCTCTCTGCAAATAAATAAATAAAATTGATAATGGAAATACTTATTAAACAATGTGATCAGTTACTGTTGGTAATTTTGTTATAAATAAAATGAAATTAAAGTAATTTGACTTTTCATTCCAGAATTGTACATGTGATAGTCCTAAATCAAAATGTCTTTTTGTACAAAGAAGTCCTTAATGCTTATTTCTCCTCTTACTGTTACATTCTGTAATTTCTAAAAAGAGGTTCACATAGTTCCAAAATAAGGCCAACTAAAATTAATAAGATTAGCATCCAGATTTTTGAAAAAAATGGGGTGGGTGGGAGGATTTTATTTTTCAATTTTTATTTCCTCCTAAACCCTTTTGTGACGTGTTGTTCATAATCAAGGGTAATAATAAGCTTATATCATGTATATATAAGAAATTTTAAATTATTTTTCAAATTTTGAAATGAATATTTCTGATTGGCAACCACTGTTCTACATGTAATTGCCGCTTTAGAAACCTATTTTTAGTAAATAGCAAAAAAATGGAGAAATGTTCTCTTTTACATGTACACTACCTAGATCAAATTTATTTTGCTTTCTAAGCTAGAATTTGTAGTCCCCATAAAATGAAGCATATGCATTGGTATGCAACACAAATATTATGAGTACAGAGTGAAACGAAAACTCAAACTGTGTTGAAAATACTAGGATTGATGCTTTTAAGATTCTTATGCAATGTGAAAATATAATTACAATGTAAAACATGAACTAAACCAAAAAGAAGAAGTTGATTAATGACTCTATTGAGGGTCTGGGGACCGAGGGTGTTTGCTGTTTGTCAACTAAAACGACAGCCTTGGGGTAAATCTAAGGGCTTGATATAGTACATTTTGTACGTTGGCCGACTCTTTGTACATGTTGTACTCAATATACGGTCATAAATCGCACAAGTTCGTGCTTGTGTCAATTACTTTATTCCACATGTTCCAGTGATGTTTTTGTACCAAAGTGTTCCACAATTCTTGCATTTTGGATATCATTCACAGTCCAAATTTCTTAACTCAAAGTCATTGTATAAATAAAAAAATCCACGGTTTTCTAATCACTGAAATTTGTGACATACCAGGATAAGCGTTCTTGGACACCGCCTCTTACTTGTGACCAGAGTATATCATGCCCTTCTAGTAATCAATCTATATTATCAGAAAATAAAGTTGTCATCATTGAGCAGAAGAATATGTCGACTTATATTACTAGAAGAAATACAATAAAATGCTCCGCTGTGCGCAGCTTGATACGACCGCAGAGGTCACCCTGAACAGTTGGTGCAAGTATGGACACAACATTCGAGCTTGATACAGCACTGAATTTGGATTGTAATTAAATATTTGACACAGCATAGGTTTCTGACACAGAATGAATGTGGTCTAAGAACTTAAAAATTTTTAATTTACCTATTCAAACCATATCATTATTATTTGCTTTTATATATAAATCAGAAATAACCAATTTAAAATGGAAAATTTTAAAGAAAAAAAAGGAAAAAAAAATCCACTCCCAAATTTTTTCAACCCCCTTATGATTCATCACCCCCAAACTCAATCCCAGCCTTCCCTTTGTGGTATGGTACCTTGCAGTATAATTTCAGAGAGATCCATACACTTGAACACAAGTTATTGTCTGGAAACTAGAAAAATACTTGTTTTTTGGCCCCTTTTTGGCCCCAAATTCCTAAACGTTTAGGGCAATTACCCCCAAACTCAAACCCAGCTTTCCCTTTGTGATATGGAACCTTGTAGTACAATTTCATAAAGATCCATACACTTACACACAAGTTATTGTCCTGAAACTAGAAAAATGCTTGTTTTTTAGCCCCTTTTTGCAGTACAATTTCAGAGAGATCCATACACTTGAACACAAGTTATTGTCTGGGAACTAGAAAAATGCTTATTTTTGGCCCCATTTTGGCCCCTTATTCCTAAACATTTTGAGCAATTACCCCCAAACTCAATTCCAGCTTTCCCTTTGTGATATGGAACCTTGTAGTACAATTTCATAAAGATCCATATACTTACACACAAGTTATTGTCATGAAACTAGAAAAATGCTTGTTTTTGCCCCCTAATTCCTAAAATTTGGAGGCAATTACCCCCAAAATCAATCCCAGCATTCTCTTTGTGATATGAAACCTTGTGGTGCAATGTCAGAGAGATGCATACACTAACACACAAGTTATGTCTGGAAGTTACAAAAATGCTTATTTTTGGCCCCTAATTCCTTAACTGTTGGTACCATAACCCCCAAAATCAATCCCCACCTTCCTTTTGTGGTATTGAACCTTATCATAAAATTTCATAGAGATCCATTCACTTAAACTAAAGTTAGAGTGCGAAAACCAATGTGTCTTCGGATGACGACAACAACAACGTCATACCAATATTTGACCGCAAAATTTTTTGGCGGTCGTATAAAAACTGAAATTTGAAACAGTAAGTTTTGAATGAAACGAAATTATCGGCGGTTACCGGTAATGGAAATGAACAAAATCCGGAAATTGTAAATTTTTGAAAATAAAAAAAATCGGGGCAGGCAGGGATGAAAATCTATCAATTGATTTTAATTGGCCTAATTATTACTTTCTGTTTTCATTGGGTCACTGCACTGTGGTATTGCCTCTGTAATGGGTAAATTTTCTGCTTAGGTAATTAATTTTGTGGATAATTATATATCTATAAACTGAATAAAAAATTTTTTTTTTTTTATTTTTTTTTTATTTAAGCAATCAGGTCAAGCATTAAGGCACAGTATCTTAAATAACTGAATTACACTGAAATACATGTAGATACTAACCACTTTCATTAGATAGAGTAAGAATATCCAGTTTTATGGTCCATACTTCCCATGGAATGCATTCTGGTGAAAACAGCCATCTTGTTTTCTTTTTCTGGAAAAATTCTAATGAGATCTGAAATAAAACTTCAATTAAGAGATATCACTTTTCTTTCTGAAATAGTATAGCATAATCAGGGTGATTTAATCCGGGCATTGAAATTTCACAATGAATGCTAATGATATGTCTATTCCATAGGTGTAGTAGACAAAAGATGATTCAATCAAAAATAACTATTATTAGCATCGAGTGATCAGCTATGAAACATATTACCCTATCATATATATTGCTTATGGAATATACAGAATTAATTCCTAATAATCACTAGCATTCGCTTTGAAAATTAAAGACCAAGAAAGATTGTGACTGGAACCACTTCGTGTGTACTATATTTGCAAGGTTGTAAGTTAGTGTTATCATTTTCAATTACCTGCTTTTGTTTCAAGTGTTTATCATTTAATATGGCATGCATATTCATAATCTGGCCAATTCTAATTATTTTGTATCCTGGACAAGTTTTGTATTTCGTTAAGCTTTCATGTTTTAAAAAGTCTGTGGCTCAATCTTAGTAAACAAAACTGGTATCGACAAACTCCTGAGTTAAAGTATACTTTGCTTATAACTGTGAAGAACCTGGTCTTTTTTTTTCCTCATTTACACAACAGACAACATACCTGGTCAGAACCTGCTCCATTGAATTATTGCATGACACAACAGAATACATACCTGTCAAGAACCTGGTCTTTTTTCCTCTCATTACAGGACAGGCATTTGTTGAGAACCAGGTCCATTGTGTTGTTGAATGACACAACAGACAACATACTGTAAATTCAGAAATTTTTGCGTGCATTTTTTATTGCGATTTTTGAAGAATGGACATAAATGCGAGATTAATCATTGCGATTTCAGGAAAAGCTGCATACAGATATATACATCAGATATCAGAATGCGAGTTCGTACTCACTAAGTCGCATTATATGCATTAATAAAAACCTCGCATTAATTTCTGAATTTACAGTACCTGGTCTAAACCTGGTCCATTGTATTCTTAAATGACACAACAGAATATATACCTGTCCAGAACCTGGTCCATCCTGACTCCTTAATGTATCTCTGAACAATGATACATGACCTTTCAATTTCCTGTCTAATTCATCTGAGGCAGTCCTCACCTACAAAATATTAAAATAAAACTAGTTTTGCAGACACTATTTCCATTTTTAAATTGCATATACATGTACAAATTGTTTTTAATATTCTCTGTTTATATAAATTTACCCTTTTTTTATGATACATGTCAGACATTGTTTTATGTAGGCACCTACTCATCTCTACAATACTGTAAATTCAGAAATTATTGCGTGCATTTATTATTGCGATTTTGTCATTTTAAACTAAAATGCGGTTTTAATTTTTTGCGATATTGAGAAAAGTCCTGTTTAATTCTTATACAAAATTTCATATGCCAGTTTAAATTATTGCAATTATAACCCTGTCGCATTTTTCGCAATAATAAAACCATCGCAATAATTTCTGAATTTACAGTATCAAATATGATATTTTATTTATAACCAAAAAGCCAGAAAATCTTCTGACAGCATTCTACATGTCAACAGATGAAAATAATTGTGATAATTGAAAATACAATTGTACTTTGTAGATCCATGATCCGTTAGAATCAGATAAATCTATATGTGATAAAATCAATACATATAAATGATTCTAAAAATCTGAATGCACTGAACATGATTTATTTAGTAGTTGCAATTAGCTATAAACTAGCCTTCAGTAACTGTGAGTACTATTATATGTGTGCTTTTTGTTTATTGTTTTTATGTGATTTGTTTTTTGTGGGTCATACCTATTTTTTGAGTTAAGCAAATTGCAACTGATTTTTATTGTGTGTTCTTATGTTGCACTGTTACACCACTGTCCCAGGTTACGGGAGGGTTGACCACTCACAAGCATGTTTAACACTGCCACATTTTTATGTGTCTGTACCAAATTAGGAGTCTGTAATTCAGTTGTTGTTGGTTCATGTCTGTTTATATTTGTTTTTTTGTTGTTGGTTCATGTCTGTTTATATTTGTTTTTCATAAACTGTTTTGTTTTTAATTTAGCCGCTAATTCTCGTTAGAATTCTTTCACATTTTTTCATTTCAGGGTCTTTTTTAGCAGACTACGCAGTATTTATTTTTTCATTGTTGAAGGCCGTACCATTGCCTATATCCACTTATTTGAACTCTGATGGATAGCTGTTTCATTGGCAATCATACCACATCTCCTTATTTTTTTTTATTAAAGTAAGAGATACAATTGAATGCTTACGTATTAGCTCGTAAAAAATTTTTTTTTTCTTATATTGAAGCATAATTATTCTTTTAATTTCTGTTGATTTTGTAACATTCTAAAGTATAATTTTAGCAAAGATTTAGAAAAGAAACAAAGACTAATGAGTTATTTCCCTTATTAAACTATTTAATGGACATGCCTTTAAACTGTTGAACAACCTTTCTCAATATTTCAACTCAAGAAAAATTTTGTCATGTTCTACAACTTAATCTGAATCTGATTCAAAATACATTTTTTTAGCATTTGAAATGCTGATTATGAATAAGGTCACTAAAAGTAGACAAAATATTGGTCAAACTTTCTTTTAATAAAATGCTCCGCTGGGCGCAGCTTGATACGACCGCAGAGGTCGAACCCTGAACAGTTCGGGCAAGTATGGACACAACATTCAAGCTTGATACAGCACTGAATTTGGATTGTAATTAAATATTTGACACAGCATAGGTTTCTGACACAGAATGAATGTGGTCTAAGAACTTAAAAATTTTTAATTTACCTATTCAAACCATTTCATTATTATTTGCTTTTATATATATAAATTAGAAATAACCAATTTAAAATGGAAAATTTTAAAGAAAAAAAAGGAAAAAAATCCCCCCCCAAATTTTTTGAACCCCCTTATGATTCATCACCCCCAAACTCAATCCCAGCCTTCCCTTTGTGGTATGGTACCTTGCAGTACAATTTCAGAGAGATCCGTACACTTGAACACAAGTTAATGTCTGGAAACTAGAAAAATGCTTGTTTTTTGGCCCCAAATTCCTAAATGTTTAGGGCAATTACCCCCAAACTCAAACCCAGCTTTCCCTTTGTGATATGGAACCTTGTAGTACAATTTCATAAAGATCCATACACTTACACACAAGTTATTGTCCTGAAACTAGAAAAATGCTTGTTTTTTGCCCCTTTTTGGCCCCTAATTCCTAAAATTTTGAGGCAATTACCCCCAAAATCAATCCCAGCCGTCCCTTTGTGGTATGGTACCTTGCAGTACAATTTCAGAGAGATCCATACACTTGAACACAAGTTATTGTCTGGAAACTAGAAAAAATGCTTATTTTTGGCCCCTTATTCCTAAATGTTTTGGGCAATTACCCCCAAACTCAATTCCAGCTTTCCCTTTGTGATATGGAACTTTGTAGTACAATTTCATAAAGATCCATACACTTACACACAAGTTATTGTCATGAAACTAGAAAAATGCTTATTTTTTGCCCCTTTTTTGGCCCCTAATTCCTAAAATTTGGAGGCAATTACCCCCAAAATCAATCCCATCATTCCCTGTGTGATATGGAACCTTGTGGTACAATGTCAGAGAGATCCGTACACTAACACACAAGTTATGTCTGGAAGTTACAAAAATGCTTATTTTTGGCCCCTTTTTCCTTAACTGTTGGTACCATAACCCCCAAAATCAATCCCAACCTTCCTTTTGTGGTATTGAACCTTATGGTAAAATTTCATAGAGATCCATTCACTTTTAAACTAAAGTTAGAGTGCGAAAACCAATGTGTCTTCAGACGATGACGACGACGACGCCGCCGGACGACGACGACGCCAACGTCATACCAATATAAGACCACAAAATTTGTTTGCGGTCGTATAAAAACTATGTACACAATATGAAACTTACATAAGTAAAGTCTATAAAATCACAGTCTACATCTACTATACCAACTGTTCCTATAGAATAACTCGATTCTTGTTTGAAGTGAAACTGAAATCAAAATATCTAAAATTAAATCTAATTACAAACCAAAATATATGGAAATGATGTATTGAAAAAATAAATATTGAAAATATAAAATATAAAAAGGAATTATTGTGAAAATAAAGTAAGTAAGTCATATCTAAGTCTTGAGTTTTAAGTACGAGGCATAATCTCTATATATATTCCGGCCTATAGGTTAAGTATTTTGACCTTGATTGTCATAGCTGCAAATGTTTTAATCGTTTTCGTGCATGAGAGACATTTCTCGTATCACAAAAAATAGAGAGTGATATCAACAAGTATACTGTAATCTGATATAAACTGTGATATTTTCATTGGTTACCCAACCTTCTTGTTAGGTCAATGGTGTCTAGCAAAGGTCATGATGGAACATGTGTTCTCCTTGGCATCTGTTTGTTTAGTTCTTTTTTTAATGATAGTGTCTATATCATCTTTAACATGCTGCATGATTACCTCTGAAGGCACATCGGCCAAATAAACAAATAAAGTGGCATGATTACAAAGAAATATTCTGAGGCGCTGCAGGACCCCAGCATCATATTGACCTGGGGGAGAACACTGTAATAGCATGTATAGTCAATGAAAGTGTGGGATCAGATATTGTCATATGGATGAATTATATTTCATACATGTAACATAAGAACATTAACAACATACCTTTCCTATAGTTCTGTGTAACAGTAATGTATGGAAGATACCTGAAAATAATCAAACAGTAATGTATGGAAGATACCTGTAAATAATCAAACAGTAATGTATGGAAGATACCTGTAAATAATCAAACAGTAATGTATGGAAGATACCTGTAAATAATCAAACAGTAATGTATGGAAGATACCTGTAAATAATCAAACAGTAATGTATGGAAGATACCTGTAAATAATCAAACAGTAATGTATGGAAGATACCTGTAAATAATCAAACAGTAATGTATGGAAGATACCTGTAAATAATCAAACAGTAATGTATGGAAGATACCTGTAAATAATCAAACAGTAATGTATGGAAGATACCTGTAAATAATCAAACAGTAATGTATGGAAGATACCTGTAAATAATCAAACAGTAATGTATGGAAGATACCTGTAAATAATCAAACATTTATAAACATGATAAAGGTCCAGTTCATCTGACTGACCACATCTCTATACATTATTTTATTTCAAAATCACATGAATTTGTATAACCCATTATACTGTAAAGCAACTATTTAATTCAAGCAGTTGTAATTTGAAGAAAAAACTTTTAATCATGACAGTGTTTTAATTTAATGAATCAGAGCAAAGCAATGAAATCAAAACCAACTATTTATATTAAGTGTTACAACAGAAACATTATGTGCATATATACAATGTACAAGTCTGTAATAATTATAATTTGATAACTGAAACCAGTCTACCGGGTTTTATTCATTTCTTTTTCACACACATGTACAATTACAAAAAAAGTATATATAGCTATAGTCACTGACAAAAACCTTACAAAGCATTTAAATTCATAAAGAAATATTGGAACTTTGTAAAAAGGTAAACATGTACTCTATACACGATTTAATTGTCAATATTGGGAAACTACATTGTTCAACAGAATATTCAGACTCATTTTTATGAAAAAAAATGTGTAGTAAACATCAAAACGACAAATAAGTCAGAAACCTTGTACATTGTACAATGCAATAACATGACACCTTTAACTTACTTTCTACTACTTCTTCTATTTGTCTTCCTTCAACAGACTACAAATATAAACAAATTCATTTCATTTGGTAAAACAGACTTAAATAGTAAAATTCAATCCTTAAACAAACATACTGTATGATACATTATTTTATTACATGCATATATATATCTAATGGTTGTGTCATGTTATCTATTTCTTGCATGATGAGATATTTCTTGTATCACACTGCATGGAGTGTGATACTAAAATTGCATTAATTTGATTGGCTTGAGACGATATTGTGTCATTTTCATAGGTTGTTCGTTTGGTCATTAATGACTTTCAAAGATTAAAACAATGTACATTTCATCCACGGCAATGGACATATGTGATTTCTTCAATAATATACAAAACACTCACAATTTTCACGTTGAAAATCTTCTTTTTGTCAAATTTTATTACATTCTGAAGCATTCAAACATTTTTAAAATGCCTGATGTTCAAGTTTGATGCCAGAACAGGCCATGTGACGTCATACTGGTATCTACATTGACTAGATCAACAATTTTCAGATTTTTCAATTTAACACAATGAGTGTTGACCATAAGAGAAATATACGTAGGTTTAAAAACTCATGAGAATTGGATATCGCTTGATATCAATTCTCCTTATTTAGTTTAAGATAACTGGGGTGTTTAAATGTTTGATGATAGATTTCTCTTAAACTTCTGTGAAAGACTTCTGGTCAATATACAAATTTCAATATAAAAACTGGGGGGTCACAGACCTTGTTTTTTCGTAAAAATATATTGAAATTAACGAAATCAAAGTTATTCTATATCATCATGATCATGTATATGGGGTTTTATTGGGGATACTTAGTTTTACCTCATGGAGTAAACATTCAAAAATAGAATTGTTTCACATTTTCATGTTGAGGCCTTTCATAGCCGACTTTATGGTATGGGTTTTTCTCATTGTTGAAGGCTGTACAGTGTCCTATAATTGCTTATATCCACTTCATTTGAACTCTGGTGGATAGTTGTCTCATTGGCAATCATACCACATCTCTTTATTTTTATTCATACATGTATATCAGGGGCGGATCCAGCCATTTATAAAAGGGGGAGGGGGGTTCCTAACCCAGGATAAAGGGGGGGTTCCAACTATATGACCCCATTCAAATGCATTGATTGTCAAAACTCCCGAAATCCCATTTTTCATGCTTTTGGATGTATCACCCAAAACATCACCAAAACAGTCATGACAATCATAGTTTGCCTCCTTACAAGTTCAATTGGTAGAAGATGTTTTCCTTTTTTTCTTCAGTAGTGTGTATACTCTATTTGATTCCTTTATATTATTTGGTAATATATCATACCTGCCAACTTTTGAAAATCCCTATGGGCGCTTTAGTTGGCAACAACATATTTAATGGTAACAATTTTGGGTCGTTTTAGCATGCCTGTATTTTGCTCCAGAAATAGTTGACTGTGTGGTATGTGTTTTGCTTATTGTTGAAGGCCGTATGGTGACCTATAGTTGTAATGTTCTATGTCAGTTAGTCTCTGGTGGAGAGTTGTCTCATTAGCAATCATACCACATCTTATTTTTATATAATCTTTCTTTTTTTCTTATGGTACATACTGATGATGAGGTAATTAGCCTGTTTTTTTCTTTTTACAATGTATATGCATGATTCTTGTACCAATTTTAATTTTGAGAAAAGATAGTTCATGTAGCTAGATTACCAGTAAAATGTTTTCTTGTGTAGCATATATACACGACATATACTAGGAATAACTTAACTGACTTGACTTTTTTCCATTAATAAATATGGACACAGAAGGACATTTCTCTTATAGTCTGATTTAATTAACTCATAGGAATGAAAACATCTCATGAACACTACTTCTGTATTACTGTACATGCCTACTTATCCAGCCTCATCAAATAAGTGATTGACCAGACTTGGTATTGTTCTGACTGTGAAGGACTTCTGACAAAGTTATATAGTCCTTTAAACACTTTACTTCAATGTACTCAGGCGTAAGAACCTTTTAGCAAATGATAATAGACCACTTTCGAGTAATGTCCTTCACCAGGAAAGTTTGTCAATTATGCGCGCCTTTATGACATCATTTACCAGATAGAGGGGCCCGACTGTATCCCTGCACTATTAAAGTTCATCAAGCGTCTTTGTGATCGTCATAATGCAGGATAAACTATAAATAATGTTTGTTCCGCAGGTACTTTATCACAATTCCCTAATGACAGCAGTGCTGATTATCAATTATAAGAATTTAATTTGCCAAATAATTCGTGCAATATAGAATCATATTTTTTCAACCACTCGCTCAACATGGGAAGGAAGTGACGACGCCCCTAAAGGCATGAATGATGTTCACTAAAAAATTTATGACAGAAATGCAACAAACTCGAAAGTGTTCTATTACATGTAGTCCACCATTATCACAACTCTGACATTTAGACAGGAATACAACTTAAAAGTTCTTAACAAAATTGACTCTTTGCTTGTTTAAAATGCCCCCATTAATTAGGCCAGAAAATATAGGTGTGTTTCCAGTCACTCAATCAACCCTAGCTCTTCCTTTAGCATGTCACAAAATCATCTAGGTCTAATTACATGAATTAGCGCTTTTTGTAAAAGCATTTTTGTGGCCATAACTTATAATAAACAAATGGCTGGATTACATAACGTGTGTGCTCACAGTTCGATTGATGAAATACAACCATAAACCTGATATACAAACATTCATGACAGTTTCACACTAAAAATAAATGTGGATAGTGTCCACATGTGGACACAGATGATGCCCCCACTTGCATATCATATAGTTATAAAGGGACATAACTGAAGAACGGTAAAAGTGACACTACCCAAATTTGAACTTGATCTGAGTTTTGTGGTAATAAGCATTGTGTGTAAGTCTCATAACATTTGGTTGAGGCTAACTTAAGTAGAGAACAGAAACTAAAAATTCAGCAATTTTTCTATTTGTAATGACGCATAACTCTAGAACGGTTGTGTATAAGTTTTACAACATTTGGTTGAGACAAACTAAAAAATTCAGCAATTTTTATGTTTATAATGGGACATAACTCTAAAATGGTAAAAGTGTTGCCACCTAATTTCGTACTTAATCTGTATTATGTAGTAATTAGCATTGTGTATAAGTTTCATAACATTTGGTTGCAGAGGCAAACTCAAGTTAGAGAACTGAATCAAAAAAAATGTACTTGATCTTTACTGAGTTTTGTTGGAATGAATATTGTGTATAGGTTTCACAATGTTTGGCTGGGGAAAACTTCAGTTACAGAATGGAAACTAAAAAATTTTGCAATCTTTCTATTTATAAAGGGGCATATAACTCAATAATGGTTAAAGTGACACTACCCAAATTCAACTTGATCTGTGTTTTATCAGTGGTAGTCAAAATTAAACATTGCATTGTATAAAGCATTGATTGTAGTTGATTCAACTATAATCATGGTCAAAGGAAGATAACTCCAATTTTAAAAATATATTATATAAACTTTATATTTAGAAAAAAATAAAAATTTTGCAATTTTTCCTTTTATAAAGGGGCATAACTCTAGATCGGTTAAAGTGACACCACCAAAATTCAAACTTGATCTGTGTTTTGTGGTAAGAAGCATCGTGTATAAGTTTCTTAACATTTGGTTGAGGATAACTTAAGTTAGAGAACAGAAACTAAAAATTTTGCAATATTTCCTTTTATAAAGGGGCATAACTCTAGATCGGTAAAAGTGACGCCACCAAAATTCAAACTTGATCTGTGTTTTTTGGTAATAAGCATTGTGTATAAGTTTCATAACATTTGGTTGAGGCAAACTCAAGTTAGAGAATGGAAACCAATTTCGGGACGTACGTACAGACGGACAAGGGTAAAACTTAATGCCCCCTCCGGTACGGCGGGGGCATAAAAATTCAAACAACTGTATAAAGAACTTCATGATGAGATGAGATGAAAACAGGAAATATCAATTTTGACAGCTTTTCTGAAAAATATGGACATACAAACAAAGAAAAACACATGGTCCAGATAGACTGACTTGTTACTTAAAATCAATGGTCTTTAGTTGTCCCTATTGTCAGTCCGAGTGGTCTTCAATATATGTCTTGAAATCCATAAAAAAAAAATCCAACAGCATCTGACAGTCTCAGGTTGTCTTGTTCCCCATAGGGCATGTAGGGTGTAATAATCATTAAATATATCTATGTGACATAATTTTCAGAAGGTAAGGTAAAATTTGGGCATAGTTTACAATTTATTTACATAAGGGAAGTATATGTCTTTAAAAGCCTGAGTCTATTAGCCGTGTATTTTGACATTTGAAAATGATGAAACACATTGAAAAGCATGAATAATGCGTGTTAATTTCATGGCGCCAGATATTTTTTTTTTAGAAAACAAATAGAATCAAAGACGTTTCTTCAATTTACTCTTCAACTTACGAGTTCAAAAACCTGTGTTCGTGCGTTCATCTTCTGACAATCATTATCTCCAGTCCATTTTCTTTCTTAAAACGCAAAATATAAATAAATTTCTTTCTCTTGTTATGAGACCTTTTCTTTTTTTAGAACAGGTGATTACCGTAAATAGGCTTTTTATTTGTCGTAAAATATAATTTATTTCTACGACTGATTAATATTAAATTGCAGTTTAATATTTTTCTTTTAACAGACAAATAGAATACATTAAAGTGATTTTAAATTTTAATTGTCATTCTCGTGTGTTTTGAACTTTTAACCTTCACTTCAATGGGGAATATCTCAAAGTTGTAAATTCAACAGTCTGTTTTGGTATTTCTCAAACTACTTTAATAATATATTGATTGATTGATCCTTGATTGATAGTTGCTAGCTTATCGTACAATTGCAATGTCTGTTTTTACAGATAAGGCAAACAATAATAAATTTAAAAAAATAAAGATGGGGAAAAATTAATCATAATATCCACCAACCATAGATATAATAGCCATTATATCTATGAACCAACTAAAATGTACTTATATTAAAACTTGCGTTTTCTTTCATGTTTCTCTCTGCGAATAGTACTTATACTAAATATATGTAATGTCCAAGAATATCTAGACAGAGCTCGATTTATATACGAGGAAGCTCAGATCTTTGCCACCCTTTGGTCGTTGTGGATAATTCACAGTGTTTTACTAGTTAGCAATCATACCATGCACTTTCCTTATTTTAATACTCAGCGAAACAAAGATTCTTAATGGTAAAGTTGAATCACAATTCCGACTTCCAGTCGAAAATATTAAAATGACAATTGTAATATTGATGCAGCATTAGCATGATATGCATTACAACAACAATAGAAAAGAGAAAAAAAATCCCAGTAAAATGAAAGACACAGCAAAGCGATCAAGCAGTAACACAACACATATGTAGTAGTAATATGAGGGTGTGGATGGGGTTTACAGAATGAATAGAGAATAATGGTCATAAAGTGCAGAATAAAGGGCAAACAATACAGAGAATAGACAAATAGACAAAAAGTAAAGGAAAGAGAATAATAGGGTGCTGATATATAAAGAATAGAGAATAACGGGGTCAATATAACTGAGGATTAGGGAAAACATATCAAAAAAGTAAAAAATACAAAGAAACGAAGGACCCCTAACCGAGACCCTCTAATATGAGAGCCACAACAATAACAAGAAAGACTGAAATAAGATAGGATAGTATGAAAAGTAAAATACAGACCGCGGCAGCAGTCAAATGACAGATATAAACAAGAGTAACACGATAGACGCGACAGTGAATAACAGGCGGAAGACATTAACGGGACATATCAAACCTCATAATATAAAAATAAGAAAATGTGGTATTATTGTCAATGAGACAACTCTCAATCAAAGACCAAATGGCATAGACGTTCACAACTATAGGTCACCGTACGACCTTCAACAATGAGCAAAACCCATACCGCATAGTCAGCTATAAACGGTCCCGAAGTGACAAATGTAAAACAATTCAAACGAGAAAACTAACGTCCTGATTTATGTACAAAACAATGAACGAAAAACTAATATGATATACAGCAACAAACGACAACCACTGAATTACAGGCTCCTAACTTGGGACAGGTACATGCAGAATGTGGCGGGGTTAAACTAGTTTGTTGGAGACAAACTCTCTCCCTAACCTGGGACAGTGGTGTAATAGTAAAACGTAAGAGATGCTATAAATATCAGTTGTAAAGGGCTTAACTCATCAGATCTATACGAAGCAGAAAAACCTAACAAAAACACAGACCGGCGGACGTGGCAGGGTATTTATACATTCCCACAACAAAGATGACAATGCAGAAAACACAAAAAAAAAACGACAGACGACTAAAATACAAATATAATTAGGTTCACAAATCACAACATAGAAAACCAAAGTCTGAGCAACACGAACCCCACTTAAAACTGGGGTCATTCTCGGGTGACTCGATCAAAACGGGTAAGTAGATCCTGCTCAACTAGTGACACCCTTTGTGCTACATTTGTAAAACACTTTGATAAGTTATATTAAGTGACCAGGGATCACACAAAAGCGGATCTTACCTAACCTTTAGACAGTTAAACATCACCAACTTCGTAACTTTATAAAGTCCCTTCTCCCTCCACACACACACTTTTCAGTCCACGCCTACGCCACTATTCGTAAATCATTTAACCCATCAGTTACAATTTGTACATATGAAATTGATTCATTTCTTCTTCATCTACTTTCTTGTCTCCTTTTTATTATTCTTATTTTTGTATTGATATTTTTCCAGTAAAAATAAAATTGAGAATGGAAATGGGGAATGTGTCAAAGAGACAACAACCCGACCACAGAACAGACAACAGCAGAAGGTCATCAACAGGTCTTCAATGCAGCGATAAATTCCCGCACCCGGAGGCGTCCTTCAGCTGGCCCCTAAACAAATATATATATACTAGTTCAGTGATAATGAACGCCATACTAAACTCCAAATTGTACACAAGAAACTAAAATTAAAAATAATACAAGACTAACAAAGGCTAGAGGATCCTGACTTGGGACAGGCGCAAAAATGCGGCGGGGTTAAACATGTTTATGAGATCTCAACCCTCCCCCTATACCTCTAGCCAATGTAGAAAAGTAAACGCATAACAATACGCACATTAAAATTCAGTTCAAGAGAAGTCCGAGTCTGATGTCAGAAGATGTAACCAAAGAAAATAAACAAAATGACAATAATACATAAATAACAACATACTACTAGCAGTGAACTGACATGCCAGCTCCAGACTTCAATTAAACTGATTGAAAGATTATGTCTTCATCATATGAATATCAGGCACAATCCTTCCCGTTAGGGGTTTAGTATCATACCATCATAACATATATGAGAGGAACATAACCCGTGTCATGCCAACAACTGGTTTTTAAATAAATGTGTTTAGTGCCGATGCAAAGACCCTATAAGTGAATCAATATTAACGCCAAAATATGCAATCTTTAATGACCTGACAACAGTATCGTAACTATATCCCTTCTTAATAAGTCTATTTAAAGGTTTTGTTAGCTTCAGAGGTGAATACTGACATTTTTGTGCTTTATAAAGAATATTTCCATAAAAAATTGGATGTGAAATACCTGAACGTATAAGAAGTCTGCATGTTGAGCTATATTTACGAATGATGTCCTTATACCGATGATAAAATTTAGTAAATGTTTTGACTAGTTTGTGATATCGAAAACCCTGGTGTAATAATTTTTCAGTAATACATAAATTTCTCTCGTTAAAATCTAAAACATTGTTACATACACGAGCGAATCGTACAAGTTGAGATATATAAACACCGTAAGATGGTGACAAGGGAACGTCACCATCTAAAAATGGATAATTAACGATAGGAAATGAAAAATCATCTCTTTTATCATATATTTTAGTATTAAGCTTTCCATTAATGATATAGATATCAAGATCGAGGAAAGGGCAGTGGTCATTGTTAGTATTAGCTTTATTTAAAGTAAGTTCAACAGGATAAATTTCTTTAGTATACATACTGAAGTCGTCATTATTGAGAGCCAAAATATCATCCAAATATCTAAAAGTATTATTAAATTTGTGTATCAGATGTTGTTTCGATGGGTTTTTGCTGATTTTTGTCATAAATTGTAACCCATAGCAATACAAAAAAAGGTCCGCAATAAGTGGTGCACAGTTAGTCCCATTGGAATTCCGATAACCTGACGATATACGGAATCTCCAAAGCGAACAAAAATGTTATCTAGTAAAAATTCAAGGGCATATATAGTATCAAAGCATGTCCAATTGACATAGTTTTTTTGTTTATTGCTACTAAAAAATGACCTAAAAGAGTTTGAACATATATATTCACATTCTGACTTTTTAAATGCCCATTTAATTAGGTGTGTGAATTTTTTCTTAATGAGAATGTGAGGCAATGTGGTATATAGGGTAGAAAAATCAAAACTTTGAACAGATTCAAAATCACCAATATATGCATGTAATTTATCAAGTACTTCCAACGAGTTCTTGACACTCCAAAAGTAATTAATTCCACTATTTTCGAAGGCCTTATTTGAACAATTTATTATCAGGTTTTTGATTGTACCAAGTGTACTGGTAAGAAGAATAGACAATTTAGTAGTGGAACAATGGCTTGAAGACGAAATGAATCTATATTTGTAAGGTGTTTTGTGTAGCTTCGGAAGCCAATACATAGTTAGGACTTTCATTGTATTTGGTTCTGCTTGTAAAGCGGTAGCTAAAAGTTTATGTTTGTTACAGATGTCGTTTTCTGAAAATGGAGTCAGTTGGAATGTTGGTGAATTGGTGATTTCTTTTTTCAGAACCTTATTTTATTTTTTTTTAATATCGGCCATTTTACACATTTTAAAAGATAAATATCACATTTCCCCATCTTTATCTTTGAAGGTTATTTATCTGTTTCAGCAAGTACACTTTTCGTAAAATATCACCAGTGTACTTCGAACTGTAGATTAGAATATTATTATTTGTGAAAATCCAGTGACATTATCTTTGTTCTGAAAATTATAATTCTAATAAGCATTTTCTTTTTTTTTTTTGAAAATTTAAATTCTAATAAGCATGCATTAATATGGAATGAAGAGATGAAATTCAATTTAGAATCATATTGATTCAACGTAAAATTCAATACAGTTTACAAAAAGTGCGTGATAGCTTTTTTCATATATATGATTTAAATCTACTTTATTCATACTTTTACACGCAATTATAGTAAAATTCTCTGAGAAAAGGATCTAATTAATGTTGTATTACTGGAGATATAACGTAGTCTAGCTGGTTGAGTTAGAGAAGATCTTGTTCGGCTCGGTTGGTTAGAGCGCTGCCGCTGGTACCGTATAAAAATAAGGAGATGTGGTATGTTTGCCAATGATACAACTATCCACCAAAGTTCAAATGAAGTAGACGTAAGCAATTATAGACACCCGAACGGCCTTCAACAATGAGAAAAACCCATATCGTATAGTCGGCTATAAAAGGCCTCGACATGCAAAATATGAAACTATTCAATTGAGAAAACAACGGCATAATTTATAATAAAACAATTTACGAAAAACAAATATGACAGACATGAACCAACGACAACCACTGAACTACAGGCTCCTGACTTGAGACAGGCACATTAAGAATATGGCGGGGTTAAACATGTGTGTATAAGCGCTCAACCCTCCCCTAACCTGGGACAGTGGTGTAACAGCACAACATAAGAACAAACTATAAAAATCAGTTGAAAAGCTTAACTCATCAGATCGATACGAAGAAAAACATCAAACAAAAACACAGACCGGACGTGGCAGGGTATATATCCATCATCCCTAACAACAAAAAGACACTAAGTACAGATCTGAGAGTACTCGCAGTTACTGGCAGCTACTTCAAAGCCAATAACAACTAATAAAAAAATCATGTATCTAAGACTAAATATCAATCAGTCAGTACACATGCAACATCCAATGGATTTAATGTAAAAACGTCATTAACAGTCAGAGGAAAACATGACCTTATGCAATGCCAAACTATAGTTATCGACAGATTGTAGTACCGTGAAAGCACATATGTGTAACATTTAGTATGGTTTTAATTTACTGATTACAAAATCAATATTTATACCAATAAAAATAATATTCAAAACTTTGATTACAGTGTTCAATATGTAACCTTTTAGAATAAGTTTATTTAAATGATTGATAAGTTTACTCGGATCGTATCTAAATTTTCCCGGCTAAGTTAACAACATCACCGTAAAATTTAGGATGCGCTATTCCGTTTCAAATAAGTTTTCTGCAGGACTGGTATAGCCAAACTTGCAAACCAAATCTTTGTATCTATGGAAGAATTTATTAAAGGTTTTGAATAATTTGTGGTAACGAAATCCATGACTTGGGATTTACTAGTAATACATAGATTACACTTATTGAAATCCAAAACGTCACTACAGACACGAGCATAGCGAAAAAGAGTTGGGGATATATAATCACCGTAAGACGGTGCCAAAGGAACATCACCGTCCAGAAAAGTAAAATTAACAATAGGGAAAGAAGAATCATCCCTTCTGTCGTAATTTTTTGTGTAGAGCTTCTGGTGTAATACTGAAACATCTAAATCTAAGAAAGGACAGTTATTGCTGTTAATATTTGATTTATTTAAAGTAAGTATTTTCTCAATATTAAGAAAAGAAATATGATTTTGAAAAGACATCACAGCGTACGGTGAACTATAATTCCTTTTATCTTCATCATTTGAACTCTGGCGGCTAGTACATTTTATCATTGGCAATCATACCACATCTCCTTTTTTTTTTTATATATAAGTAAGAGATAAAATTGAATGTTTACGTATTAGCTCGTAAAAAAACTGCCGAGCTCATTTGTATCTTTTAAACAAACTAACGCCGACCGTATTTCCTTCAAAAACAATGTACCGAAACTGTGTGCCATTTTATACATGGTACATGTATCTTTACATTTGATTTAATTGTTAGTTTTTTTATCCGCCAAAAAAACATTCGGGCTCATAATATTCTCAAACGAACCAACACCTAATACTGTATTTCCTTCACAGTCAATGTAACAAAACAGTGTGTCATTTTATACATGGTATCTTTACATTTGATTTGATTGTTAATATTTTTTGTCCCCCAATATACATTTGTATTAGTATTGTTCCCCTGAATTCTTGAAATTGATTGAATTCGTATATATTTTCTATTTTGCCTTCAGTTTGTAGAAGTCTTAGCAAAATTTGTTTAATCCAATTAATTATAAGGGGCGGTGCATTTTCACGACTCTATATGTTCACCTTCAGTTATCCATCTAAGTTCAGTCTTATACATTACATATTACAATAAGTAGATTTTAAGTGCTTATAGCCCTAATTTTATATCTTAATCATAAGAGATCAAAGCGGACTTTAAATGATAAATATTTTAATCGGATCAAGATTTCCGCATCTAAATTGCTTTTTTGTTTGTCTGTAACTTAACGAACTATATGGAAGAACGAATACAGTTTATTATTCCTCCATGAGCGGGGGTGAGTAGACAAAGAATGACCGACAGATGCATGGCTTTCCCCCATATCAATTATCTATATATTATCCAATATATTTTTATTGTTGTATAGCTGACATTTAAAAAAGAAAGAATAGGTTGTATAGTGCCCTGTACTATCACATAGCTTAACCTTTTGAATACCATATAAAGGAATTTGTTATGCCCTCGCAACAAAAGGCTGAAAGGAGGTAATACTATTCATGAAATCAATGCGTTCTTCTTGCCCTCTGTTCGCTCATATACTAAGGCTCTGGTATGTGGTTTGCACTTTTCTTTTAGTCTTAATAGTGTAGAGTAATGAAGTCAAATCCACAATTTATTATGAACTTAACGAGAAAGCAACCTAATGACAAAATAATAAATAAAATAATTTTAGAAATTAATATATAGTCTTCAACGTCGGCAAGTGCATAACGATAGTTAAGCTTTAGATCCGATTAAAAAAATAGCATCCTAGCTATTCTTATAAGATTTTTTTCGGATTATAAATGCTATTATGACTAATAAAAAGATTGACATTAAAAAAGGTTGAAAACAACACTCTCATGTATCAAAGTACGTAGTATTCCCCCTTCCCCACACAAACTTTTTGGCAACAACAACACAATCATTGCAAATAAAAAATGAAAATGACATAGGACACTGATTAACTACTTCGGTATAGAACCATGGAAGTTTTTTTCAGAAGTTTGTCCCACACCACTTTTCAGCTTTATTCCTACGCAACTGTGTGTCAACTGACATTTGATTCTTCTCTTATATAAATATACATCAACAAAGTAGCACAAATTCGTAAAAATTAATCTCCACGAATTAAGTCAAATAGAGATCGCCCGAAAAGAGTAGCCGATATATAAGTTGGTTTACATGCAGGACCCTTAAGCAAAGGACAGCTCTTTCGTTGATTTTCCAATTTTAAATTGTTGACGAGCCTTTAATAAAAATCGAATGATTAAATTAACATGACTAGTGCACAACAAGTGTTTCTGAAGTTATCTTCATCAGGAACGCTGGAGACCAAACATCTCGAATTATATACAAGACGTTTAGCTGAACCCGATGAAGTTACTCAACTTTGACTGTAAAGGAGTGTCACCCTTACTTTTAGGGCATTGATTCGACTTTATGATGTTCTTCGATATAAAGGGAAATGTGGTATGATTGCAAATGAAACAACTATACATAAAGACCGTATGTAATAGATTTGAACAATTGCAGGTCACCTTCGAAACCCATCCGCATTGCATGAAATTCCCTGTTTAAAAAAGAGAGGCGTAAGATACCAAAGGGACATTCAAACTCATAAGTTGAAAATTACCTTACTATGCCATGGCAAAAAAAGAAAAAAAAGACCAAAAGACAAACAACAGTACACAAAACACAACATAGAAAACTAAACACTGTACAACACGAACCCAACCAAAAACCGGGGATGATCTCATGTGCTCCGGAAGGGTAGGCAGATACAGCACCACATGTGGCCCCCATCATGTTGTTCACACAATTAAGTTAAATTACAAATGCAATTTGTTAGATATAATTGTACAGTCATGTCCGATTGGGGCGTTAACCCTACAATTCATAGCTTATATGTATTTGGAACAGGCATTTTATACATGTAGAACGTTTAATAGTGCATAAGAAAACCTGTTTTATCTCATTTACATAGAGTCTGTACCAAGTCGGGAATCAGTTATTAGGGCCTGGATTTGGGAGTGGGTCCTCATTTCTATATTCCTTATCTTATTTTGGAAATTTACCTTTATTCCTTTTTTTTTGGAAGGGGAGGGGGATCCATTATTCTCAATTCTTTATATATTTTTTTATTTCAATTATTCTCTATTCTTATTATTTCTTTTTGGTCCATTATTTCTTTTCTTTAAATGCACTCAATTTTTATCCGTGGTGGATTTAAAAAAGACAGAGACCGAGTGTTGGAACCACTTCTCTTTAGAATTGTTTATAAAATAATGTGAAAATTAAGAATTTCTCCCATGAACCTCATTACAAACTCCTTCCCCCCTTTTTTTAAATGTAAACCCGCGTTCTTCCCAGTTTCTTCCATTTAGATTACCAGAAGACTTCGTCCACAATTGACCAATTTATATGGACATATGTTATATATATATTAATTTTTGTTATTCCTTAATTATAAATTCCCTATTTCATAAACCGATACTGTTTTGTTGCTTCGAGAACACATTTCCCTTTGGAACTGTCGTAAAAGGAAAACAATTAATAATGATGAATCATAATAATATCACATTCTATAACGATAAGAAGCTGCAAGAAATCTACACTTGCGGTTAAATACCTATATATACACATAAACTATACATATGATAATATACCATGACGTGAAGATACCACACAGGTGTGTAATCATACCTTGAACATTGGCCTACCTGAGGGTTAAGTTACATTTTATAAATAAATATTAGGTAAAATCGAGTCATATTCTAAAACAAAAAAGTGCATAATGTGAACATTAACGTCTTAAAACATGGGAATTGCTGAAAAGATCGAACAGATCTACCGGATCAAAAGATTATTATGGAGAGGAGGAGGATCAAACGACGTCTCGACAACACTAGTCTCGACAACGACAGGTGAGAACCGGCTTAAAAAGGAAATTGATTCGTGTATGATCGTCCGGTTATCAAAGTACGTGTATTCAGAACACCCCAGGTTTTTTGTTTCGGTTCGTGTTGCTCGGTCTTTAGATTTCTATACATGTAGTGTCTTGTAGATTGTTGTTTGCCATGGTGTTGATAATTTCTCTTGGGTTATTCCTGTTTGGTACCTTCCGCCCCTCCCCCAATTATTTGAATACATGTTAAATGCATTATTTGCCAAAAGAAGGAGAGCAGGATGGGGTTTTGAAGAAAGACCCAGAATAAGAAGGAAGGGGATCTTTGAAGTAGATCTTGAAACAAGGCCAGGTCAGGTTAAATAAACCCAATTACTGTCAAAGGAAGTAAACTATTTACATTTTATAATATACATGAAATCTTGATAAGTGTTTTAAAAAGCAACGAGCCGAAGTCGAGACGAAAATATGACAAACACATCTTGTATTAATGACATAGAATAAGTAATAAAGGAGATGTGGGGTATATGTGAAAAAAGCAGCATACCAACTACACACAAAATACATCTAAGAAAGTCAATATATAGGTCTTCAACGATAATGTTTCTAAAACATCATAAGCTCTAAATTGCTGCGAGTTTACAAAAGTTGTAAGTAAACGGAAATCATGCACTGTTGTGACGAGGTTCATGACTTTAAACAGAAACGTGTATCCTAATCAGAGAGAACATGTATTTTTTCATCTCTTTCAATAATTCTCATTTTAACAACTAAATAGACATAACAGACTGTACAATTGAAATAAGCACAAGGGAAGCACCGACCCCCCCTCCCCCCCCCCCCCCCCCCCCCCCAATTCAAAAGTGATGCATTCTTTAATAGATAGGAAAATCACATCAAGTACAATTACAACAGTTACAATAATAAACAACAACACATCGAATTAGTTGTTAAAGTTTTTAGTTTCCTAAAGCGAGCTTAAAGTACTACCTGCCAATAAGATATTAAGCTCCCTTGCACACTAATAATGATGGCTGTACTTCAGAATAAATGGCACATATAACCGTACAGAAATGACGATCTAGAGCCGGAATTAACTAGTTCGGTATTTCATTAAAGAATAGAATTGAAAGGACAAGAATGTTTAAACATTCTATATTCTTGTCATCTGGTTTCAAACTGTAAATTAACCCCAAAATACTGGAAGCAATTACTAAGAGTCTGGCTGGGATATAGAGAATAGAGAATAATGGGCAAAATGCGCAGAATAAAAGGCAAAAAAAAAAAGAATAGAGAAAAGTAGGCAAACAAATAAAGAATGAGGAATAGTGGGGTGCTGAATTACAACAAAAAAAGACGAATGTTCAAACTAAATAAAGAATACAGAAATATGGTCCTAAAATTAAAGAAAAAAGAAAAAAGACCCCCTCCCCTGGCCCCTTTCCAGACTCTCACGACTGAACAACAGCTGAACAATGAAGATGTAAAATTTTAATATTACAATTCTTTAAACTAATTCAGTTGTGCCTACGACTCCAGCAACCAACAAGACAAGCTTAGACAACGAATTACCTAATGATGAGTTTACTGTAGAATCAGAAGCAGGTTGGTAAACTTATATACTCTTTAGGGAACGACCATTTAACTTCAAGGGGAAGGGGTTATAGTTTTTTCCTAAAAGAATATTCTGATCTCCAATTTGATGAAAAAAGAATATTGTGGTCAGGCAGATGACAAAAAAAAACAAAAAACAAAAAAAACTCTGAATCCAGATTTTCCCCATATCCAATAAAAAAATTCTGACTCAGACAAAAAACCATAATCCCCTTGAAGTTAAATGGATGCTCCCTTATAGATATACAAACCGCCAATCAACAAAAAAAGCAAACATACAAACAGGCAAATGATGTATTTGCCTATCAGTGAGATCTTTTTAAAATTATTATAAATGAAACGTTTGACGGTGAGCGGATACTATGAGGAGCGGAAGACTCTACATATATATAGAAGATGTCGCGGCTATAGTCCAAATTATGGTATTTAAAGGGCTCCTGAAATATTTCAGGACCTCCATAATTCGTATTCAGGATATCCATCAATCATTGGGGACATCCACAATTCGATTAATATACATTTTTGAAAAATTTCAAGATATCCTTATATCGAATTGTGGAGGTTCTGAAATAATATCAGATTATTGCATGGCATTTTTAATATCAGATGTATTTTCAGACCAAGAGCCGAAGGCTCGAGGGCTGATATATTGACCGTGGGCTGATAACACATCTGAAATGAAAAATGACATGTTATGATCTTTTTATCATATACTTCAACAATGGAGAAAAATAACAGTTTTAAATATTGATCCTTTGTTAAAAGTGGTTCTTAAGTAGAAGTTCAAAAAGTGAAAAGTTTACGGACGTCGGACGCCAAATTTAATACATTCGATATGAAATCTTTCTATCATATGCCTCATCAGAGGGGAAAAACAACAGTACAATATATTTCTATATTGACGATAAAAAAAAATTAAGAAAAAATAATGGAAAGGTCAACATTTGTAAAGTAACTTCCTAAATTATGCTGGAAACATTGAAAAAATGCATTTATTGTTGTTATTTTTTTTTTTGCATTTTACATAATATATTTCCTTTTTCCTAATAATTGTTTTGTACCCTACTTTGTTATGTTTTTCACTGAAAACGTACCAATGAGGTGTATTTTCCGGAATTTGCCAAGTAACGCCGGAATGCCATGTGATGACGTTACGGAAAGGCATGTGATAATAGCTGGAAGCATGTGATAAAATTTTCATATCAGCCCGCTAAGCACCAATTCGGAAAATATGGAATTCACGTAAATTTAATGCTATTATCATACTGTAAAATTTTTTAAGTTATTTAATCTAAGTATATGATAATTTAGGATATCCTTTTATCGAATCATGGCGGTTCTGAAATATTTCAGGCCTTGAAGGCTTCCTTAAATATCAAAATTTTGACTATATCCGCCACTTATATAATACAATTTTTTTTGGTGATTGACATCTTCTATATGTACCGTCTTTAACCATAAACCAAATGAATCCACACGTCATAGCAAAAACTTTTACAATCTGAATAAAAAGAAATTTTTAAGAGATAACTCTATGTTATTTCAACAAACAGTAGGATCGTGTACTATATATAAGTTATTGATTGATTAGTTGTTGATGAACGCAATTTTCTACACCAGTGTTATATCATGGGATAAGTTGCATGATTAGATTTTTGCGTTTTTTTGTATCTTTCAGTCTAATTTATTATTTTCTCAAAATCAGACCATCTTAAAAAGTAACTCTGCAAATAAATATTTTTCACTTGTTGTTGACCTTTGTTTTTTATTTTATTTTGTTCAGTTTCCGGAATTTGAATGTCTTCCGTTTTGTTTTGTTACAGGTGCTATAGCCGGACTTATATTTGGTTTACTGATAGTCATTGGAATGGTTGTACTTGCTTTGATCATGTTAAAGAGAAAAAGGTAAAATGAGTCCCTCCATTAGGACCTCTGGAAAAAATCCATTATTCATTCATTCATTCAAAAAAAAAAAAAAAAAATAGGAATCGGTTTAGACAATTTTTTGTTATAACTTTTAAACTCTAACAATATGTAACCGAAGGATTGTAGAATATCAAGCAGTGTATTTGAATTGTTTTATCGATTTTTTTTATGTCAATCTTTTACTGAAGCTAGGCAACTGCTTGTATCTCCTTTACTATTCAACCCATTATGATAGCGTATCATTTTATTACAAACAGTTTGATACACATGACATGTATAAATATACAAGGAAAAAAAACTCCACTGACGTAAACTTTGGTACACAATTAATACACTTTTAAAGGTGTTCGAAAACATGGATCGTATTTTTTTTAATCAAGAAATAGTTCAGTCTCTTGACCCCCTTGTTTATATTTATCCGTCTCGGTGGTAAGACAATTTTTTTCCTTTGTGAAATTTAGAAATTTGAGACTCGGAAAAATTATAAAGTGTTGTTTTTCATTTTTTTAACACTTGGACTGATAAGTGATGTGTGGTCCTTTGATATGGAAACAGATTTTCATCACAAAAAGTAAAACATGCCAAACCTTTCTTGTTGTTAACAATTTAGCCTTTTACAAATTTGAATCCAGGACTGCAATGCCCTGCAAATGTATGGAAAAAATCGTTTTCACATACAATGTTCATAATTTACACTATTGCATACAGTTTCCTCTTCAAAATAAATAATATTATCAGAATAAGTTTTTTTGATTAACATCGTGTTCACAGCTGAAGGAACATTGGTCATACGTCCCTGCGAGGGGTGACACGGGGTGTTCATTTCCCAAATCCCGTTATATTTGGGGATTTTTTCCTCATGTCCCACTTTTTTTCCTTCTTTTCCCAGATCCCAATGTTTTACCTCTTATATCCCACATCCCCACTTGTTTACCTCCAATATCCCGCACCCCAAAATCGTGTCACCCTCTCGTTCCTGTACATTCAGTCGACAAATGAAAATCGAAAAAAAGTGCCCTCTCTGAGTCAACACTTCAAATTAACTAATTTCAACTTTATGTTTTCTTTCAGAGATAACAACAGAGAATATCAGAAGCAAATCAGAACCCAAAGATCAACTAAACATAACGCAGGTGTATACATGGACACCACGACGGAGGACCTTGTACCCGACCCTCGCATTGTCAAAGGGACCACAGCTTACGCTGCGCTGAGTCGTGAGGATAAGGACCTTTATGATTACGAGTCAGATGAAGAAATCTAATATAATATTCATGAAAGCTTTTTGCAATGAATACACCTTATCGCTATTTGGAAATCTGTTCCGCTTGACCCGAGAAACTGTTCCGCTTGAAATTTTGACGTCATACAACAATCACTTTTCCGTTGTGGCGTCAGATATATTCTATTATGATGTCAAAATTTTACGGGAACTTTTGTGATGTCCAGTAATGGCGGACAAATAGCGATAAGGTGTATCGAAACTGTTTAGATACAGATTATAGAATGCATGTTTTAACACTCTAAGTTTGCAGTTCGCTTGAAAGAATTAAGCGTGTATGTATACACCAGGAGCGTATTGGTATTCCATTTATGAAGAGTGAAGGATTGTGTGAATGATTGCTGTATTTTTGAAATCAAAGATCATATCTATTTGGATTTTGATCTACAAGATAGGATTTTTTAAACTACCAAAACTTTGAATTCATTAATATCATTTTTATATGGGAAACAAAGGACAGTAATTTGTATGAATGTGCTTGCTCATTATATTGCAATATGATATGTAACGCAACTTTTAATTGGATGACGTCTGCCGTCAATTCCACGACTGGAGTTTACGTTTCTTGGAATATTCATATGGTTAATTATGAACATTTTACTAGTAGAGCATTAGAAAAGGAATACTAATATTGTGATATCTTGATACTCTGTAGTTGCTTGTTTATATGCTTCATATATGATTTATTTTTTTAGAGTTTTAAAAGTACTAATTCAGTAATGAGGGTCTGGATAGTGTTAACAGAATAGAGAATAATGGGCAAAAATAGATGATAATGGGCAAGAAAATAAATATTAGAGAATAAGGGGTGCTTAGACATAAAGAATAGAGAACACGGGATGCTAAGATATAGAATAGAAAATAATGGCCTAAAAAATTAAAGATAACAGAATTGTCATGTTAATCGGATTTGGGACAAGAGGGACAAGCTATGGCTATTTTTGCCAATCTCACTTTTGTTTACCTCCTAAGAAAAAAATGTATCGTTATAAAAAGTTTAGAAGTATGAAATTCCCTTTTCTTATTGTTTTTTCATATTTTATGGTTGAGTTATAACCATAACTCAAATTCTGTTTAATGCTGAAAAAAATACCCCCCCCCCCCCCCTTCTTTTAAAAATGTAATTTCAGGGGATGGCTTAACATATTTTGATTTATAAAAAAAACCTCTTCAATTGTGCTACAAAAGCAATGTTGACGAATATGTAAGATTCATGTCTGTTATATTTGTTTTATTTTAAGTATGATATTTTTTGTGAACTTTGTATGTATCAATGAGATAGCATTTTTAAATTTAGAAACTTTTACACGCAAAAAAAAAGATGGTCAGCGATTGTGAACTTTCTTTTATTATATTATCATTATGCTGCTCATCAATATGTACCACTTTGGTCGAAAGGGAATGTGTACCCCTCCGATAACAAAAGAGTAAATGGTTATTTTGAAAGTGTAATAAAAGTATTGTGACTATAACAGTCCAGTTTCCCTTTTCACCAAATTCTTAACTAGATTTGCAATGCTCTGTCTTCATTAACAAAGAGGCGGCCAATTAGTACAAAATGATTCGTGTTTAAATGTTGCAATTGCGGGTTTATTTTTTACGGAAATATTGTATCTAAAGTTTCTATATTTGAATTTTTTTAATACTTTTTATCTATTCTTTATTGTTTGAAATAGCTAGGTTAAAAGTTTTTTATTTACTTTATTATATTTGCTGCTGAAAATTAGAATATAAAATTGTCATAGATTTAATCTGTTTTAAGTACATACTTTATAGTGCATCATACATACTAGAATACGGAAAAAAAGAATAGATCCGCATGTGTTTTTTTTAGATAAAACATTTGAAAATTTTAATTTTAGGTGCGGAAAGGATGTCATTGAATTTCTGTAAAATAAAAACTTTAGTATGCAGGAAATGAACGTTACACTTTCGAAAAATTAATCCTTACAGTTAGTGTGAAAATAGGATGGTTTAGTGGTTGGCGTAAAAATAACTATTGTCTTTTTTTAACACCAATAAGATTTCTTTATTTCCATCAATTGGTTGTTACAATATCCTCATCAAGTCCAAACTCCTTGTGAAGGATAAATATGATTTACAATTCTATTGTAATAATAAATGATAAAGCGTCAATCTAATAAATGTTTTTTTTACATTAACAATAAAGTTAACTCCTTCCAACTTTCTAGTATATTGCATTTTTTTGTAAATTCCTTCGTCTGCTGATCAGATAAATAGGATAATTTATAAACTGAATGACCAATGATAGTTATAACATAGTCAAAGCCAAACAGGTTTTTGTCTGATATTTAATAGCAAAAAAAAAAAAAAAAAAACTATTGTCATTGATTATCTATAATAAGTAATTCTCCAAGAGTAATTTAATTTCTGTAGCAGTCACAATCAATTAATTTGAAATATCATGAGATGATATGAAAATGGGGATCATTTTTTGTATGTGTTTGTATTTGTTCTGTTTCGTTTAAAACGATGTAAGAACAATTAAAACTAGCACAACAATGTACTAACAACCACTTTGATTACTTTGAATGTTTGCATATTTGAATATAATTTATCATAATGAACTAGAAAAACTAGTAGTCCGAAACAAGAAAGTTGATGCTCTGCAAAAATTTCGTACCCTTACAATTTCGTACCCTCTCTTTCGTACCTTGACAAAAACCATTTCGTACCCTCCATTTCGTACATTGACAAAAACCATTTCGTACCCTTACCATTTCGTACCCTCCATTTCGTACCTTGACAAAAACCGTTTCATACCCTTACCATTTCGTACCCTCCATTTCGTACCTTGACAAAAATCATTTCGTACCTTGATACAACTCATTTCGTACCCTTAAGTTTCGTACCTTGACCATTTCGTACCTCATGGAAGATTGATAAGTATGCCATTTCGTACCTTATGAAAGATTTTTATGTATGCCATTTTGTAACATATGTAAGATTCAATATGAGAAATATTGAATAAATATTGAACTATGGTGTATTATGTACAATGTTAAATGTGTAAGGGTGGTTTTAAATGATGATACACTTACAGTAATGATTAAACCGTTTGCTTATTATTACGTATGTATGTATATTTATGAACCAAAATATACAGAAGGCTATTTGATTGTTATGCTAATATAATGAAAATAATTAGATTTTATAAGATTTTAAATTGTATTTATATATGTAATTTATAAATCAAACAAATTGGATTGTGCAATAAAGAAAATAAGACACATGGCAAACTTTATGATAATTGGCTTCTACCATGAAATGAATATTATTCAAACGGCAATATCATGGTATAAAGGTGATCTAGAGCAGAGGAGAAAAGAGCTTACATTTTCAAAATACACGGTGTGCAGATTGAATTATAACGAGAGTTTTACTTGCAATAAACAGCTCTGTGGGTGCCACTAAGGGAGCAAGATTTTTTTTTTGTTTACCTTCCCGGAGCACCTTAGTCTTCACAAAGTTTTTTTGAGGTAATGTTGTTATTTTTTAAAATTTTCCGTGTAGTGTTTTATGGACTGTTGTTTTATTGCTTGTCTCTTTCTCTCTTTGCTATGGTTTTGTCCATATTACTTTCTTACT